CCCGGGTGTGGCCCTGGGCGGGGAGCAGGCCCCCGGGCTGCTCCGTGCCCCGTTGCCTCACCGCGGTCGGGAGAGACGGTTGCGTTCACTGTACTTCATTCTTTCCCCCCAAAAAATACTGATTCTTTTAGGCTGAAGGAGTCTCATTTTGTCCTCCCATCTCTCTTTTTTTTTTTTTCTTTGCAGTCGTGGAGGTGACTGAAGGCAACACGACCACAGTAAGTCCCTGCCCCCTTTCCCTCAGTAGCTGCCCTTGTCGTCGCTTCCCCCTGCTTCAGCCTCCCGCTGTGTTGTGTGTCCGTGTCCGCCCCCCACTCAAAGCATTAAAAAGAAGGCAGAAGTGTTGCTTTTCTGCCCTAAAGACGCATCTCGGAGCGTGAAGGGAAAACCGAGGTAGGAGCGTGTTGCGAGGGCAGGTGAGCAACGGAGGGTTTGGCTTCTGAAGGTCACCCTGTTGCAGGTGATGGGTGGCTCCAGGCAGAGCCACACACGAGCGCCAAACTCCTCGCTGCACCCCGGTAAAGTTGGAAGCCCTGAGCGGAGGCATTCGGGCCCCAAAACACGAGAAGCAGTTCTTCAGATATGTTTGTTTCTTAAAGTAGTGCCACTGGGTGTCGTCTCGAGTGTGGGAAGGCATGGGGAAGGTTTGCCCGGTGGCTTGGTCACTTCATCCAGGGCCGGCAGTGCCACATGGCATCACAGCAGGTTGCTTGCCTTTGAGCTGCATCGTGTGCTGTGTGTGCCATAGTGACTGCAGGTGATACAAAGCTTGCATCTTGTAACGCACTTGGTAAGAAAAAATTTTCAGTGAAAGCGATATCGTCAAACGAAGACCTTAAATACTAAAGGAAAACTGCTCCTAAAAATAAAACAGAAGTTCTGAAGTAACTAATAAAGAAGAGCATTTTCTCAGCTACGGTTTAAGACGGGAATGAAAAGACCAAAGCAGTAGAATTAGAATTGTACTTAATTAACACTATCTGATATGTGGCACTTTACCAAGAGAATTGTCATTTTTTAGAAGAAGCACTGAAATTACTGGGGGGGGGGAGGAGATTGTGTTATTCTGCTTATGTTAAATATGCCTGTAGAAATCTCTGCCTTGGCTGGAGATGGGTAGCACAGATATTTTGAAATGGGTAAATACGATGAGGAAAGTGGAGCAGGAATTGTTTGGGAATAGCTAGAAGGCAGTGCACCTAAATGCTAATCTATATATACATAAATAATAAGGAGGGGACAGAATTTTTTGCTTTCTAATGAAACAGACAAAACCTGGTTGTTCATGCCTGTTTAAAGTTTGAGCTTCCTTCTTGTCCTGTTTGTATTGGTGGACATTGTCATGTCTGAAACCTGAATAGAGCAGGTTACTTACATTTTAAATACATAGTACCAAATAGAATATGGCAGTTAGCAAGACCTCTAAGACTGTCAACAAAAATAAGTTTAAGGTGTGATGGGAAGTCTCTTTTTCTTCTCTTGAAGTGCCAGACTGAATCTTTGCCCAGAGACCTGAAGAGTTTGCAAGCATGCCCTGAAGTTGTTTTAACCCAAACAAGGGGAAAACATGCACACCAACACAACTTTGCACTCAGTCAGCTTCAAAGGGGGTGTAAATTATGATTGCAAAGTCCCAATACGTTAACTGAGGCTTGAAGTAAAAAAGATGTATTGCAGTAGCAGAGACCTTTAGAAAAATAATTCTTCCTGGCCCACTGTAGAAGCATAAGAGAGATTTGAATATTTCTACTGTATTATACCCTAGCATCAATCTAGAATCCATCAGTGCCCCTAGATGAGAAAAATCCTGTAACAAATGGTGTAAATTGGCCAACTAAAGGGCTGATACATTTCTCAGCTTATTCTCTGGTCACTCCATTTATCCTACCAACTCTACGTCACTCTTTTCTGAATCCATCTTTCTGTGCTCATCTTTCTATGTGTCCTTGCTTTTATCAGTATTGAAGGAAGTGTTTGATGTGAACCAGATGAATGAATCCCAGAGAAATCTGGATTTTATCAGCACACTGAGAATATAGAGCCCCTATATTCCTTCTTATTTCTCTAACAGAGGAATAACTGAGTTAACAACATTAAAGTCGTCAGTAGTTGAGGAATAGTTGCCAAAAACTGTACACTGAAATTTATCTCAAGAAAAAATTATACTGACATAGCATTCTGAATCTCTATTCGTTTTCAAGATGGAAGTACAGTCACAATACAGTCTGAAGCCAGACTGGCAAGAATCAAGACCACATACACCAGCTTCCCAGAAAATAACCTTACCAATGAACAGAAAGCTAGATACTGGCCTGTATTTTACATTCATAGTTACTTTTTTGGTTTTGTAAAACTGGCTGTTCTGCTTGTGGGGGAGGAATCTTACTTAAAAATTGACAGAAATCAACAATATGCTCTCTCTTTGAGGTATTGAGGTGTTTGAACTACAAAAAACTTGCTTGTTTCCATTTTGCTATCACTAGACAAGACACAAATCTATTGTATAAAATTGCATCCAGCTGAACTGCCAGAACTAGTGTCCCATGCACGCTTACAGAAAATGTCATGCTTTTCCCAGTTTTTCAGGCACAGAACCTGATGGTTCAGTCTGAATCAGTCTTCTTTTTTATTAAAAGTAGCATTGCATTCCACCCAGGGTTTCTTACTAAACTAAACTCTCTGGTTCAGAATCTGGTTTTAATCTTAATTTGACCAGAGGAAACTTCCAAAATATTTTGGAGAAAAAAATGGCTTAGTTTTATTGTCTTTTCTGTCCATTCAGCTGCAATTTGAGATAGCTCTTGTTTCTATTCAGAAGTCCTCAAAAAAGGCCAAGCACACATATCACAGAATCACAGAACGTTAGGGTTTGGAAGGGACCTCTGTGGGTCATCTAGTCCAACCCCCCTGCCGAAGCAGGGTCACCTACAGCAGGCTGTACAGGACCTTGTCCAGGTGGGTCTTGAATATCTCCAGAGAAGGAGACTCCACAGCTTCCCTGGGCAGCCTGTTCCAGTGCTCCGTCACCCTCAGAGTGAAGAAGTTCTTCCTCATGTTTAGTCGGAACTTCCTCTGCTTCATTTTGTGCCCATTGCCCCTTGTCCTGTCGCTGGGCACCACTGAAAAGAATTTGGCCCCATCCTCCTGACACCCACCTTAAGATCTTTAGAAGGTCCCCTCTCAGCCTTCTCCAGGCTAAACAAGCCCAGCTCCCTCAGCATCTCCTTGTAGGAGAGATGTTCCAGTCCCCTCATCATCCTCATAGCCCTCCGCTGGACTCTCTCAAGTAGCTCCTCAATGGTACTTCATATTCCTAACATATCTACACTTAGAAAACAGATTTCTCAAGTTCTTCCCACACACACCTACATTTCTTTGCATGATACTTTTGAGAAGACTTGAGTGTTAGACTTCACCTCTTTGTAGTGATAGAGAAAAGACTGTAAAATGATCTCTTAAATTAATTGTTCAGGGAATTAAGCTGGATGAAATATTGATGCATTTAAAAAAAAAAAAAAAAAATAAAAAGAAAACCACAAAATCACAGATGTCTCCTAACAGTCCGTCCTTAAATTTAACTTTTGGTCAGAATTTTCCCTGTTGGTGATTTATAATCTAGCAAGCCCCACAACATGCATCTGCTATTCTGTGACATTCTCATACTCCCAGAAAAAATGTGTTTTAAAGCTTTTGGCTGAAGGGCCACTACAGTTTCCAGGCATGATGGTTCGAATGAGTACTGCAATAAATGGAATTCAGGCGACTATGAGAACTTCACACTGACTGTGAACTAGTTTACATTTAGTAAAACATATATAAGAATTTACCAAATGGTTCTCTTTGCCCCTTGGATTTGTTCTTCTCCCTGTAGTCTGTGTATATCTAAAATGCTTGGTATATCTGTACATAAGCCAGATGAATAATGCAGATTCTGTTGCCCTTACATCTGCACAATACTGGTCAGTATGGGCTTGATGAAAAGTATTCCTCAAGTCACAGGTGCAGGTGGAGGTCTAAACTGTGCCTGATCATTATATCCTTTGAATTGTTTCCTAGATTGAAGGGAGAATTATAGAGGATGCTGAAACACCAACTCCTCCAAACCCTTCTGGCCAGTGTCCCATCTGTCGCTGGAACCTGAAGCACAAGTACAATTATGTGGTAAGTTCAATGAAGGAAAGTTCCCCTGTCCTCAGAGCTAGATAAATAACTGCACAACCTGCCCCTCTTGTCTTTTGCTGGATGTAGTAAAGGTAGTTAACTTCATCTCTGCTTCTCTTGGGTGTAACAAGAGCTTCCTACATAGTAATTGTTTGTCTTGGCTGATGGTGTTCCTGGGAAAAGGAGGATGAGCTCATATGAAATAGGAGGTTTGGAATTGTACATATGGCCATCTGATGTGAGAAGGCCATTCCTCTCTTTTGTTCCCATCTACCCTTCAGCATTGCGCTTTGGGAGAATCAAACTGAAATGCAGTGTTTAGTCAACTGATTAAGGCCTGGTCTAACTCTAGAGAGGACAAAAAACTTTGCTAGATCAATTATACGTCTTCAAGCACTAGAATTTCTCATTGGGTCATTGTCCACTTAGGTAATAACTGTTTTATATAACTTTTAAAACTCTTGATGGGTATGAAGGAGAGCATACATGTTTACATCCCTTGCAACAGAAAAAATAGATTTGATTCAAGCTTTTTGCAGGAAATGCTAATGAGAAGTTTGTTAACTAATGAGAGGATTACTAACACTAAATGTAGAAGATGGGAGGGAAATCCTGTGATGCTTTAAAACAAAAGCACAACAGTCAAGAACACTTCAGCATAAGAAGCGTGAGATAGAAGGTGCAGAATGTAACTTTACGAGAGGTCATTCAGACAGAATTCACAAAAGGAGACGAAGTGCCCCCCTTGCAAGCTGAAAACCCAGTATGGAATTAGAAAAGAAGTAAACCAGACAGGAACATGCTGTTACTAAGATAAGGCAACAGAAAACTGAGAATAAGTTAATGTCAGTAGGATTAGGGTGAGAGAGATACAAATACGTCTAGGAGAGAAGAAATCTTTGTCAGAAAGAAAGTCCATTAATGAGAAGAGAAGGGGACTGAAAGCCACACTGGCTGCAGAATGACTAAGTTGCTCGCATGCAGTCCTAACACACATAAAAAAGAAAAATGTTTTAATATCTAGATAGTAATGGCAATCTTACAAGTGTAAAACAACAGGAAAAACTAGGTATAGAAATAACTTAAGCATTGAGTTAGGTACAGACCAGCAAGCCTGGATTGCATGTAGCCCCAAGATCTTAAGAGAATTACTAACAAATACATTACTTCGCTTGTAGGATTTTTTTAAAGCATGAAAAAAAAATACTAAGGAATCACCAAATGGTTTGAAAATAGCAAGTGTAATACTAAGTAGTTGAGAGAGGAAGGAGAATGATGCTGATGATTACCACTTGGTAAATCAGACGTTGCAAATTCCAAGTAAAATGGTATCACCTAGGAGTAAAAAAAAATAACCTGTTGGATAGGACTAATGGTGACTCATGAATTATGAAGAACAGGAGTACAGAAATAGTGCCACACAAAATACTTGCAATTACTTCAAGCAGATGAAACAGCAGATGCAAGGTGTAAATGATATATCAGTTTACTATCTTTCAAAGCCTGTGTTGCAGAAATTAAGTTGTCTAGGATCTGAATGTTGTCAGTGATTCTGACTCAGGCTGGGTGCAATATTAAATACGAAATAAGTTGGAGGTGGGGGATTATTTAGTGTTCTCTGGTCTGGTTTCTCAACAGTCAGGGAAAGCTAAAAATACATTGAATTTGCAGGTGATAGTAAATTAGGAGAAATGGCAAATACCATTAAGATATGGAAGGTACTACAAAAACAGATCACATTTGTTTTGTGTTGCCGATGTTTGGATGCAGTGATTTCTTGCAGCTCTTTTCTTCTTCATGGTTGCCGAATTGTGTTGTGATCAAAACAGACCAATCACACTGGAAAATACTTTCTTAAGGTTATGTGACTTTTAAACGCGAGGAGTCAACAGCGTCATTAAACTGGGTAGTTCTGTGGATTTCCAGAAAGCATTACATGAGTCACATGTTAGCAGCTACAGAGAAACTATAAACTGATGCTCAGGTATGAAATGAGCCATGGGAGCTGAGTAAATCTTGGAAATTAATATATAGACTCACTTTCTACAGCTGTCTGTGGTAGAAGACTCTCTTGTATGTAGAGATGCCATTAAGAACCAAAGAAGCAGTTTTAGACAATGTGATGCTGTAGAGCCTGAGTTCCAGGATTAGAAGTGGGCTGTTGGTCCCAACAGTGTAAAGCCTGAGTCTTAGGTGTGTTTGTAGAGTGAACTAAGGTTACGAGTTTTCTTCCACACTTCAGTTTGATTCTTAGATCCTAGTTTCTACTGTTCAGTATGGAGGCAAGAGCAAACCAAATGTGAGGAGAGATCCTGCAGCCAGAGTCTTGACAATCATTGCTGTGATCATTCCTAAGAAATTGTGGTCCTGAGAGACAAACTAGGAACATGTCCATCCTGGCTGTCATGTCATTTTTGGATGCATATGCATGTGATGTATACATATCCAGTACTCCTGCTGTAGAGCAGCGGAGAAACTGGACAAAAAGCTAAAGAAAGCAGTGTGAACTGGTATTTCAGGTTTCTTACCTCAGTATTTAGAAGCATTCCTCTGTGGGGTTGATGAGACCCAGGAGAAATTTCATTTCTGTGGTAGACCACTTCTGCTTGAATAAGTCCCTTACATGTTTGAATGCTTTGTACCAGTCATGGATTTTCAGACTTTTAAATGTTAAGGTGAATAAAATCTCCTTTTTCTGCATAAAAGCGCTCTCTGCTATTTTATTTTGCTACAGCAGTGATGAGCAGCAGAGCCTGGAAATGCTTAAATAATAAAGTGCAGGCATTTAACTGTGGGGGTAATTGAACAGTGGTACAATTTACTCGCTGGTGATTAATTATCCTAAAAGTCTGTAAATTGAGAAGAGCTATTTTTGTTAAAGATATAGCATAGTTCATGCAGCATAACCTACAATCTGTGCTTGGTAAGAGATCAGAATAGAAGGATCACAGTGGTTCCTTTGAGATTGATAAACTGAGATCAGTCAGTTGCACAGAAGAGAAAGTGTGAGCTTTTTTGCTTGGGACGCTTGTAATTGGACTGAATGAGGCACTATGAAAAGGGAAGTGTTGAATTAGCCCCTGAGGGAGCTGAGTAATATGACCTCATAGGACTTTCCTTTTGTCATGTGCAACTAGCGCAGTCTAAAGTAGTGGCATAATGAGTTACTTTGGCTGTCAGAGAACTGGGGGACCAATGTCTCCAAAGTTATTAATCAACTGAACAGGCATTGTGAGCACTAGCAGGTCATGATTCCAACCTGCCTCAGCTATGGTGTGGAGGGCTGCAGTTGTCTCTGCCAATTCAGTCCTTAGTCTCTGCTGAGGCTCGGGATAACAGAGCCTAAGGTACAAATTCCCGCAGTTTGTGGTCTGCATCTGTCTGTTCACTGAAGCTGAGATCTCAGCTGATTTTTTTCATATCCGTTGGAGATAAAAAATAATTTTGGTCATTGTCAGGATGCAACTGGATTGAAACCTGCAATCCTGTTACGAAATGCCTGGAGAATGGTGTGCAGCTTCCAAGAGTAAGGAAAAACTAGACACTTGTGTAACTGGAAATAATGACTGGCAGACTTGTCTGATACAGCCCAGTAGTAATTTGGCTACACAGACAGAACTCCTTTTGCAGTAAATGAAGGTTTTAATGAGTCGCATGTGACAAGTCAAGGATCCTGGTTTTCAGAGTGTCTGCAGATATTAAAATCCAGCGATGCCTTTGCATTTTGTTTGCTATCCATTCACAAGAACATGCTGTACATAGTGTTTCATTTAGCAAGTTTATCCAGCCCTTTTAGAGGTGAAAGCTAAACTTGTTTTTCATTTTCCCCCTTAACCACTTCAAACATCATTAGTCTGAGTAGGCAGTAAATATGTCATCTTGCTTTGGCAGCAATTAGGGGAAACCAAACTGCAAGCTTTGCCTATTAGCCCTAGATCAATTCAATCCAAGTTGTTTTCATCAAATACAGCAGATTACAGGGGTGGGAACCTGGGTCCAGCCTCGTGGGAGCTGTCCGGTGATTAAAGCAAATCCATGGTTACAGGCTTGGCTGTCCACTAGCACAAAATGTGAATTTCATGGAACATGACGGTACCATGAGAACTTGCCAGACATATTTTTTTTCTTTGACCGCTCTACATACTTGTTCGCTTCTCTCCACAGCTGCTCCGTAAAGTTGGCTGTACCTGTCTGCTTTCTCCCTGTGGTAAGATGCATCTGTGCAAGTATTCTGGGAGAGGCACCTGGCCTGTTAGCTGTGGGGATCTTCAGAAATGGACAAACCTTCTGTCAAGTGTGCAGCATTTTAAGCCAGATGGTGTGAGCATAATTTGGAGCTGCAGCAGCTGGGACATAGATGATTTCAGTTAAGAAATGACTGCCACACAAAGGTGTTGGTCAGTTGGTGACACTGTTGGTCAGAGATGATAACAGAAAGAGATTTTCCTGATTTTTTTTCCACAGGGAGAAAAAGACTATCTCCCTGTGCTTCCCGCCTCCCATCTTTGCATGGAAACACTTGATAACAACCGTGTGAGTCCATGAGGCGTGGTGGTAATAGGAGAAATCACTTGGACCACACACACCCTTCACAAGAGCCTGTGGCCTACTTAGGCTTTCACGGCTGCAAAGACTAGAATAGCCTCAAACTTGCCATCAGCTGCCTTTTTGCTTCCCTACAGAGTAATGCAGCAGGCTAGTAGAATAGTCTAGAAAGTTTTTCTCCTTCTAGGCATTTGGAGCTGGACAGCCCTTTTTCACTTAGGGCAATGATATGTTTGTGGTAAATAGCAAATTTAGCTGTTGGTAATTTGGAGAACTGGATGGCTAAAGAAGAGGAAAAGAGGGGATGGAGTCTTGCTCTGGTTTCCTGAATCCAATCCAGTGCATTTCAGGAGTGGCCAAAAGTCAGTGCCCTTGAACTGTTTGGCTGGCCTCTGTCCAGTTTCCACCAACGCAGCTGGCACCAGCTGGTCCCCTGGTTACTGTTCTCATTGGCA